TAATATATTTCAATTTTCTATCTAATGGTATCCCTTCCCAAGCCCACAATTCCTCCCTAATATACCCAGCCATCACCTAACAAACTCCAATCATACTATAAATAGCACTCCACAACCCAAAGGCCACCGGACACCACAACAAAACTTGCCTGCAGCTTTCTGCGTCAGCCATACATAAGTAACATCTGTTGGGAATATCCAGCCCCCACAATTAAATTGTCAATTGTCAAAATGCATTCTCTACTTGCTTCCCATGCAAAAAAAAAAAAAAAAAACAACTCTAGGGGGAACAAATTACTTAATGGTTTGAACTGTTTTAAGGTGGAAGAGATGCCACTTGGCTGCTGACTCTGTGTTGTGCTATTGGAAAATTTAAACCTAATTAAAAGCAATCTATAATGGTAAATTTACAAGGCTAATTTCGTAAAATCACCAACAGCTCCAAGCAATTTCTGTCATATATATTCTAAGGCTTCAGCCTATGGATTAACCATTTAACTTTCTGTTTGCTTCTCTTTAATTTCACCATAGTTTGATTTTCATATTTAATTTTCTGCTTATCAGGCAAGGTAAAAAGTTGTGGTCATCCTCATCTCTGTAGGTGGAAACTGAAGGCAAATGATTATGATCGTTTAGAAAATTTTTGTTTCCATTATGCGTTCAATATATGCAAGGTTATGGGCTAAAGATCATTAGAGGAATAACTATTGATATCTCCTCCGCCTCCTTCTGTGTAGGCTCTTCAAAGAATATTTTACCTGAGGCATTATGATGGCCACATTTCATTTGTGCCTGCACCTGGCTTTGAAACTTATGGGGAGCCAACTAATTATGATGTTGATCCTACTGGAGACAATACAAGCAAGGAACTTCCAGTTAAAGTTCAACAGCAGGGCTATCAGGGAGCTGATATTAATTTGGAGAATCTTGGTTGGAGGACAATTAGTGGTCCATTTATTTCCATATGGATTCATAATGTTCCATGGGGTGGTGAAGACACCATGGCTGCACCTAATGCTAAGGTTGTTTTACTTTGTACTCACCTTTGAGTGTATAATGCTGCTAAATAATTTCACCACCCTCCTCTCATCCCCCCCTCCTCCCCTGACTCTTCTTTGAATAGGGTCTGTTTCATTCATCCTCTTGCCATCTGAAAGCTGTTTATAAACTCTTGAAAACACACTGTAGATATTGACATCTCAATTACTTATCTTTCTTCGAGTATAAAGGATATTTTTTTTTCTCGTTTTTCTTTGGGTGCAGTTCTCTGATGGTTTTCTAGACTTGATCATGATTAGAGACTGCCCTAAGTTGTCCTTGCTAGCATTGATGACGGAGTTGAAGACCGGAGATCATGTCAAATCACCATATGTTATCTACATTAAGGTGAGTACGTTTAGATGATGACCATCTGGGCTTGTTCTCACACTTCACCTGTTAGTTGTATAAAAAATCTATATTCTTGCTTCTTGTTGGCTGGTGTTTAGTTTCCTTATCTGTTATTCCAAGATTTTAGTATGCCTATTTAATTTGTGAAACCCATTCTCTTTGTTCTGCAACAAACTGAAGGTAAAAGCATTTATTTTGGAGCCTGGTCCATGCACAGAGGATCCTAACAGAGAAGGTATTATAGATTCAGATGGCGAAGTTCTGGCCAGAGGAAAGGGAACATACAAGTTTGTCCAAAAGGGCATCATGTCTTACGACAAGCTTCAGATTACAGTGGAGCAAGGTTTAGCTACTCTGTTTTCCCCGATATAAGATTGCCAATTATCTCAAATTTGAATTTACAGTTCCACATACTGAATTACAAAGACGAATTTCCACAGGTTTTCTTTCTTTTATTTTCCTATGTACAAAACCAACAAAACATGAAGAAGAGAACTGAAAATAGAGGGAAACCGAAAAAACATTGATGTGCAAGTGTTACTTGTGAGTATTTTATGGTATACGATCAAAGTAATACCAAGTTGATTATTTTGTCTTGTCAGATGAAAAGATTTTCAAGTGGTTGTACTCCAGTATTACTATACTTTTGACATGAATACGGAGCTTAAGCAGCCGATCTGTGTGTAAGCATTTGTTTATTATGTCAAATTCTGGGTTCATCTTCTTAGCACAAAAACGTGTCAAAAGCCTTGTTCAGTAGTATGATTGATGCCTGTTAGGCAGATTATAAACTTGAGTTCGAGAACTGATGTTGTCTACTTCGTAGTCAACACTCGGCGACGAGCACAAGCTTTTTCTTTGCCAGTTAAAGCTGAAGTTTTGATATTTGATCTTTTATTGTTTACTACTAAGCCTTTAGTTTATATTTCTTGTTTATCGATATTTTCACCTCTTGTTTGGACAAATTATTAAATTAGTTTTCGAAATTTGATATTGATTATAATTTTATTACTATTGTTTTTTTTTTTTATCTTTGTAATACTCAAAATTTTTCTTTAATTTTATTTTAATTTTTATTAGAATTTTGTTTAATTTTATTCTATTTTAATAATTAATTTATAAGGTTTTAATTTAATTTAATAGAAATAAAAAAAATAATAATAATAAAATAGAGTAAAATTATTTTTAGGATTTAATTGAAATTGATTTTGAAAAAAAAAAAGTGAAAATTTGGATTATGGGGGTGTTTTTGAAAAGAAAATCGAAAATCAAAGATCAAAACGTAATTTAGAAAAATAATGCCACGTCAGCAGTCCGGTCAGCAGCCCCGGCCAACCAGGACACGCCGTGTGGTAGGAATGCTGATGCGGGAAACCATCCAGGACGAAGACATGTGGGCGATCTACGTGCGCGCGATCGGACGGCCCAGATCCGTTTCCGCGCACACGGACAGCCCAAATCGCATCGCGATGGACAATCCAGATTTATTTTCAATTTAATCGCGGTCGGACGGCTCAGATTAAACCATGATGGACGGTTCAGATTAAAAGAAAAATGTTATAAATAATCGCATCCACACCCAACTCCAAACCCTAGCCGCCAGAACTCTCGCCGGAGAAGACGACCCAGCCACCGGAGGAACCGGCCGCCGCTGCACCGAAGGATTTTTTAGCCACCAAAAGAGGTAAAATTTCTCCTCTTGGCTCGTTTTTCGATACTGAACTTTTATGTGGCCAAATCGGAGCCAAACCACCAGCCGATTGGCCGAATACACCGCTGAAGTCCAGCGGCACCGCTGCGGGTTTTCTCGATTTTTGCCTCCGATGAGGCCCTCCCCGGTTCCCGTTCGATGTAATTTTTATACCACTGTGACTACCGTCATTTTCTCTATAGATTAACCAGAGCAAAACACCAAATTGCAATTCGCGTCGGAGGAGCTGCCGCACCCAAGAGCTTCGCCGCCGGTAAGTCTCAGTTTTCTGAAATTATTTTGGCCCATCAAGGGCCCTATGGGTGTTTTATTACAGGAACCAATGCAAGTTTAGCTGAATTCGGCCGAAAACGGCCAACCCAAGGCGGATTGCCGCTATGGGCGGCGGCACCGTCATCGGAGCACGGCAAAGCCGCCGTGCTGGAATTCCGAAATTGGCCGAAAGGGCCCTAGGTCCGATTTGGAGTTTTTTGGGGACATGTGCAGGTACCGGAAGTGTGTTTCAATTTCTGAAAAAAAATTCAGGGAATCTAGGAACTGCCCATAGGTGCAGTGAGAACCCGATTTCAGACTCCGAAATAAGTAAGGATCCCTCACCCTATTTTCTATCACGGCATTAAAGCTTAACTGATAAAACGGTATTTTATGAATTAACAGATATGTATAATTAATTAAGATTGCTAATGGGGCCCGAACCTGATGTATTTGTTGGTCTGTTCTTGTTTGATTTATTTTACAGTTTTAAATACATTATGGTATCTGATCTATTTATTTTCTAGTTTTGAATGCATGAATCACAGTTTCATTTATTATGGTTTGAATTATTGTAAACCCGATGTTGTGTTGCCTTGTTTGGTGTCCATTACTGGTTTACGTGTTTATGTTCGATTGGATAATTGAGATTAAGAAAAAATGGAAAAAAAAAGGTATGTGAATTGATAAATGGATAATATTCGACAGCCTGACTAGATATCCTGGGAGATGGTGGACGGACCGGGTTCATAGAGAACTCTACCGGGAACGTGGTCTCTCAAATCGGACGGGGTATGGAGACTTTATGTGTTTTGGCGCCCATACCGGACGTGGTATGGGGACGGCTTTGAAATTAAGTTATTAATGTGAATGGTTCACATGTAGCGGGGACCCCCTATGGATCCCCATGGATACTAGTAGGCTGATAAAAGAGAAAATTTGTTGCCTGATGAGTGAAACACAAAAGTATGATATGTGTTATGTTACAGAGTGTGCATGATCTTATGATGTTTATGATGTTATTGTTTCTCATAAGTTGTTTTCATGAATCTCACTGAGATAAGTGGACAGTAAAGATTTTTATTATTGATAAATGAGTTTGTTATAAATTATGCTCAATTGGTCATTTTTGTTTTCTACCAACATTTATTTCTGTGACAGTGAGATAGTGTGATGTCTTTACTGGGCTAGTGTAGCTCATTCCTTACTTAACCATTTCAGATCAGGAGGACTTGGTTCTCGAGCCCGTTCTGTAGGAAGACGGCGAGTAGAAGACAAAGAATTTATTAGTTTTCCTTATAGCATTCATTCATAGGATTTCCTTTAAGTTAGTTTATTCTTTCATACATTTAATTTGTTTTGGTTATTGTGTAAGGGATGTTAATCATAATCTATTTTATTTTGCTTCCGCACTTAGAATAAATATATACATTTCCTTTTAATTTCCGGGGCTGTTACAGTTGGTATTAGAGGCAGGTTCTTCGGACCTGTCTCTTACACAATAATACTTAGAGGAATACCAAACTGAGAATTATTACTCAACCATTCCTTATGAAATGCAGGTGCAGAGAGATGAGGAGAGGAAGACCCCCACTAAACCGAGCAGCCTGGGATGATTCGCTTCGGGAGGATGTTGACGGAATATTTGAGATGCTTGAAAGGATTATTGCTGCTCAACAAGGTCGAGAGGAGAGAAGAGAATTACCCGACCCTCCCCCACTACCACAGTTTGAGCTACCGCTGCAACGAGCGGATCCCGAGCCACCCCGACAAGAACCTGTTCCTCCACAGTACCACCCGGCACCACTGCCGCAGTATAATCCGGTGCCTCAGCCACAGTATTGCCCGTCACCGCCACAATATGATCCGGTGCCCCCACTATATTAGTAGGTGCCACCATAGAGCCCCCCATATATCCTCAGCCCGGCCCAGTCCCTCTTCCACGGGACCCAGCTCCTTCCCTAATTGATCCGGGCTACGTAGAGAGGTACATGAGACTAAACCCTTCCACTTTTGTAGGGGAGTCCTCTTTCGAAGATGCCCAGTACTGGTTGGCAGAGACAGAGAAGGCTTTCAAGACCTTATGAGTGGTTCCTGAGCAGAGGGTTACTCTTGCTTCCCACATGCTGGTGGGGAAAGCGGATCGTTGGTGGGAGCTCAAGTAGACCATCCTGCCTACGCCAGTCACTTGGGAGCAGTTCTTAGCAGTCTTTCATGCGGAGTACCTGCCCGAGCACATTTGACATTTAAAGGAGACGGAGTTTGTTCAGCTAGTCCAGAGAAACATGACGATGTCGGAATATGCTTGTAAGTTCCTAGAGCTGGGCTGATACTCCCCTAAGACATTGATGGATGAGGGTAGAAAGGCCAGGAGGTTCCAGTGGGGCCTCCGCCCAGAGATCAAACGACACTTATTGGTACTAGAGCTTAAGACATATTCAGCCGTTCTGTCAAACGCGCAGATCGTGGACAGGAGTTTCAACACCCTTTTCCAGTCAGCAGGGAGTCACAGACCCTCAGCTCCACCTCGCAGACCAGCACCTACTGCGCCTGTCCAACAAAATAAGAGGCCCAGACCGGCAATCCAGGCCCCCCCTCAGGCTCCAGGGGCAGCACGTAGTAAGATCTGTCAGCACTGCGGCAGGGATCACGGGGACCAACCATGTTATCGCCTCAACAACATCTGTCGCATATATGGTAGTGCCCAGCACTATGCGAGAGAGTGCCTAAGGAACCAGAACCAAGGAAGATCTCCTTTTCAGGGCAGGGTTTACAACCTCACACAGCAGGATGCCGATGCCGACCCGGACGTGGTACATGGTATGTACACTATCTGTGACCATATTGCTCATGTTTTATTTGACACTGGTGCATCGCATTCATTTGTTTCACATGTTTTTGTATCCAAACTTAATGTATCACTTGATAAACTTGATTCAATGTTGTTTGTGTCTACTGCTGGGGGTGAAACACTATTAGGGGAAGTTGTCTACAGGGTTTATGCCGTGGAAATAGCAAATAGGAAACTAAGTGTAGACCTAATAGGGTTAGACACGAGGGATTTTAATGTAATTTTAGGGATGGATTGGCTAGCGGCGTATCACGCCACCATAGATTGCTTTAACAAGAAGATTGTATTCAATCCTCCTAATGAGGAGCCATTTACAAATTAATAAAATCATTTGATACTTATTCCTTGATGGCAAGTTTCCTTAATTTTTAAGTACTTTAACCTTCCTATTTTCTCTAACTAGGCAAGCCCAAGAAGGAAATTTATATCCAAGAGATTCCGGACGAACTGCCCGAATTGCTAGTGGACAGGGAAGTTGAGTTCACTATAGACCTACAACCAGGCATCCAGCCCATTTCGGTTGCTCCTTACCGCATGAGCCGCGTTGAGATGGAAGAACTGAGGAAACAGATCACTGAATTGCAAGACAATTGTTTTATTAAACACAGTGTGTCTCCTTGGGGTGCTGGAGTCACGTTTGCTAGAAAGGGAGATGGAACGTTAAGACTGTGTATTAATTACAAAGGATTGAACAATATCACAATCAAGAACAAATATCCCCTTTCCAGAATTGACGACCTCTTCGATTAGCTGCAGGGTGTGCAGGTCTTCTCCAAAATAGACCTACGATCAGGTTACCATCAGGTGAAAGTAAGAACAAAAGACATCCTCAAAATGGCCTTTCGAACCAGGTACGGACACTATGAGTTCCTGGTCATGCCATTTGGGCATACCAACGCCCCGACCATCTTTATGGATCTGA